GAGTCGCGAATCTGCGGAGTCGTCATGGCTTCGATGCGATCTCCTACAGGACCACCGCTTGCCTGATAATCGCAGTAAGAGCGGCTGCGGGAAGATCCGACAAAAGTACTCCACGTCCACGTGTTGTTCCTTTTGCTGCACGGGCTTCGCAAGCACTTCACCAAAATCTGGTTCGGTCCGTGGGGTCCGCACTGAGGTGGGACGGTCTCTCCACCTGCACATCATCTGCCCCGTGGAAGACTTGGAAGCTGGCTTTGTGCCGGGTTTCTGTGCCTCCTCTTCCGGTGGAAGAACTGCGGCAAGCACAGTAAAGGCGAAGGGAGTGCGCTCCGGCACCTCGCGCACCCAAGATAGCCAGCAAGCCTCACTACCAGACGGTTCTTCTGGAGTCCTGGGAGGTGCAACAAAAGGAGGCGATGCGGGAGTCCAGCCTCAAGTCATCGGCCGGCTCCAGGCCATGCGGTGTCTTGAGTCAGCTGAGCTTGAGACATAGCCTGCATCTGCCGCGACCTGGCATCCTCGCACCTGCAGGGAGTCCATGGATTGAATCGCTCCGATGTTGGACACATGTCAGAAGCCATCTGTCGCTGGCGAAGCTCCGATATGCATCGCGTGCTTTCTTCCAGCCTAAACACTCACTGTCAGCAACGCCTTTGATCCCATCTGCCTACTGCTTCCCACTTTTCGCCATGCTGGGTGCCGGACATGATACCCTGTATCAAACTTGTGACAAAACTACGTCGACTACACTGACAACTACCTGTAAAGAATAAATTAATGAATGGTGACTGGCGTGTACAGTGTTTGCGAGAAAAGATGTGGATGCTTGTTGCGATTCCAGCTACACAATGGGGCTTACTTTTCACTCATGCAAGTTACTTTCCGAAGTTCTACACCCACAGTTCTACACCCACAGTTCTTTTCCCTGGTCTTGAATGCTGAACTCGGCTTGCTTGCACGCTGCACCCTCAATAATTCGCGCCTGGCATTCGGCAACCTCTGCGCTACTGCCGGAGAGCCATCCTTGCCGAAGCACTCACCGCAGTCGCAAGACCAGCAGCAGAGACAGCCGTCACAGCAGTCTGACCCACGACCAAACAGTGATGACAACAGTACATGTTTCAAAGGTGATGATATGGATGGCATAGCACTCGCGGGAGGACTGGCTATAGCAAGAGTCGTAGAAATGTGGCAAGGCCAGCAGCGATAGCGGCATCTACAAAAGCCCGTCCGTCCTCCAGCTCCGCTGAGCTCGGGGACGTAATAACATAAAGCAGCTCGATCAGCCGTCCTCGGCAGAGAAGCAGACTGGCTCCCTCCGTCTCAGCCAATGAGATTTTGAAGTGAGTCCTTGCCCACACTTCAGGGTGGCCGCTCGCGGAACTTGCAGCAAGCGCAGCACCGGCACCTGCGCTTGATGATCTGATCCGATTCCGAGGGGGTCTTCAGCGATGCACAGGACTTTCTTCCCCCTTCTGGATGCTAGAACTCGGGGCATCGCAGTGAAGGCCCGCAGGGAGCGGCGCATGCGCTCCTAAAAGACTTCGAAATCTTCCACAAGCCTACGTGCCGCTCGTGATCATGGGAGCCGTCCTCGGGAAAAGGCTCCTGCTGGGCCGGCCTCGGAGCTTCGAAAGCGAACGGATGCTGCTGTCGCTAGCTGTCAGCTATGTTTCGTCGATGGGAAGCCTGGGAATCTGCAGCAATGCATGGTATTGCCGCCTCATTCTGGTCAGTTGGCCCTTAGGGCCAACCTGGAACCAAGTGAAACGGTGGCAACTTGCACAAGTCAGGCATTGCAACGCCGTGACAAACTGTGCACACGGTGCGGGATGTGTTGCGCCACGAACTTTGAGACCGATGCTGGTAAGATTGCACTTGCAGGCTGTGTCCGACACACGTGCGCATTGCTGCGCAAATAGCCTGTGCAGACCTGCTACTGCGCTGCACGGGACAGGAAAAACCAGTGCTGCATGATCGCATCCCTGCCACTTTCCGACTTGCCTTGACACAGGTACGGATATCTTGAGGGGGAAGACGGTTGACAGATGCTGTGCACGTGTTCGGATGGGGCACCGATGTTTTAAGGTCTGTGGTGAGAGTCCCTGAGCACTGAGCACCAAACTTGGTACACTCTCGGTTTGTCGTTCTTGCGATGGGACCCCCCATCTTCTCTGTGTCGTTCCAACTTTAACGAATGATCCCTTAGTGCAATAAGCACTTGGGCGATGTGGGTAGGGCTTAGAGAGGCATCGGAGCTTTTAAGGATATGAGCTCACCATAGCGTAGCAAAAGCCTTGGATAAACGCATTCGCGGTCACGAAATCATGGCCTGCTTCGGGGTGCGGCATGAAGTCTCGAGATCACGAAGCTACGAAAAAGGCTGCACTTTGGCAAGGGACTCTGGTGCCTTCTGAAACATCCTCCCGCAACAGAATGCTGCGGAGGAAGATGTGAGTCGGAGGGATTTCGGGGGCGCCCCCGGCATCCCCCGCAAACTCGTCAAAGGGAGAGTTGCACCTTGTCGCCGACATCCTCAGATGTTGCTTCCTCACCTGGCCGAAGCAGTAGATTCGGACTTGAGGCAGATTTGAAAACTTGATCTTTCGGCCTTCGGCTACTGTTTGCAGGCTGCCCAGTTCACTGCCAGATCCGATCTGCCTGGCGCAACGAAACGCATACCGCCCCATGCTTCTCTCAGCATTGCAGACATCTCTGGAGCAATCTTTGCATCCTGCGCTCCCGTGACATTTTCCCATGTGGGTCGCTCCTGGGCTCGTCTGTCGAGCTAAGTTCTGGCAGGAAACTGGCCAAGCATGAACTACAACCGGCCCACTGCCATTTTGTGGCAGTGGTCCAGGTCTCTGGAACGCTCCTGCGCCTCTTTCACATTCCACTGTCTCTCTCCCGAAATTCGTCAAAATTCTCGTCGTCATGGAGGGCATACTGCCCGTAATGCCCAGGCGATGGTTGCAAGTCCTCACGAGCTCCAGCTCTCTAGCCGGAGGATGGGAAATGGAGAACCACAACAGAGCTGATAATGGAGAAAGATTTCTTCCGGCTCTGTGTGGTCACCTTCGACGAGACTGCCGCCGACCCCGCCTCGAGCTTGGCATTCTTCGGGGGCTGCCAGTGCCTGCCAAAAAGAGTCAACGTGAAGAGGTTCAAAGGCAGCAGGTGTACTCGGACTTGGGGGAGAAGGCACTTCTTCCCATCCCGGCAAGGTGCACAAAAACACATTGATGCTTTGCGCAGAGTGCGCAAGCAGCGGCTACAGTGATCCTACGACTTTGCGTCGCCAGCTGCAGAAACCTATGCAGATGCGCACCACGCTACAAGGCGATGCCTTGTGGTAAGCGTAGGAGCCCACCGAAGGCTCTCCTTCAAGGAAGGGCATGACGCATGGCATCCCTCAAGTTCTCTGAAACCTAGCTTCAACTGAAGTTCACAAAGAGTGCTGTTTTCCGACTCCCACGACGGTCCGTCACCAACAGCTGCTGGGAAGCTGGCTTGGGAGCCGCCCGCGGGGGCGCCTTGGAACAGTCTGCGGAGACTCGATTCATCTCTGAGATGCACTGATGCGGGCCTTCCGCTCGAGCTGCTCGAGCTCTTCGTCGATCGGCGGAGCCATGCCAATCAGCTCCTTGGAGCTTAGCCCTTTCAAACTTTCTTAGCTCCGAGCTCAGAAGTCGGCGCTTCCATCCGAGGCGCATTCAACACCGCCCGGTTGGTGCAGAAGTCTTCGTCGTCGTTGAAGCGCGAGGCGGCCGCAAGCATCTGCAGCACCCCTGCTTGGCCGGTCTGGAAGCCATACTTTGGAAGCACCTGCTTGCACTGAAACACAGCTCAGGCAGGTAGAGACTTCCATGCTCCTCTGCATAACACAGCACTTCAAACGGGCTTGCATTCAATAACATCGTGCATGCAATGAAGCCTTGTTCTGAACCGTGAGGAAAAGCTTGGTGTGATCCTCCGTGTAATTCTTGTATGCCTTTCCATGAATGGCTTCCAGCTCTGCCAGGGCCTCATGGGATGCCAATGCGACAAGAGAAGTTCCGAAGCTAAACAGCAATGAATCGACAAGCGGCATCTTGGAAATCCTTCTCTGCAAAGCCCATGTAAAGCTCGGCCTTGCCGAAAGAGCTCGACAGAACTCCACACGTTTGCAACCCAGAACCAACGGCGATCTGGACTCTGTGCTGCGTTGGACGTCGCTGTCGTACGGGACTCTTTCGAATTGGCTATGGGGACGGCCTGCATGTCCTTGATTTCCTGCAATGAGAGCTCGGGAGGTGGCGGCATCGCAGGGCACCCCAAAGATCTGCCGAGGCCTTTCTCAACACATACATCACATACCTCTCCTTTTCAGCATTGACATGTATTCTTGCTGCGAGAACATTCTCTCAAATGCTGTCGTGAAGGAAAGCCGTTTGGTTCAGCCGTCTGCGTACGCAAAGCTGCCAGTCTTGCACAGAGTGGCCTTTGGTCTACTTTCTCCGTATGCTTCAAGCTGACCATGTCACGAAGTGATTCATCTGAGCCAGAAGTGCTTGCAAAGATGTCGACGAGGCTAGCTCATCTGCAACACACCCCAAGGAACAGCACAAGGTAGCGCTAAGCGACGCAAAACGCACACACGCATAGACATGGTCACACTAGACCACAAACGTCGGATTTTTAACTGCAAACCTGACGGGGCGTTTTAACAGCACTGCTTGTAAAATCAAACGATCGAGCAAGTAGACTTCTACATGCTATACCAAAAGTAAGGTCTGGCAGATTCTGGCAGCAGCGTGCAACACGGGTGTTATGCAAGCGACACTGTAGCACTACACACGGTTGTGCAACATTGTGACCACATGCCATATGCACATGCCGCATCATGCCTCGTGACCGACAGCATGTCTTAGACCTTAACAACTCCTTTTGCATACCAGCAAGGTGGTCTTTGATGAAATACACCCCCAGTTTTGAGCAGGTGGCCCAAGCTGCAGCCCCAAAATACAGCTACAAAACCATGATGCAAATTCTAAGAGCAGGTCGTGTCACAGAAGAAAATGGAGTCATAGAGAAACGGCAGAAACGTATATGCATGGCCTGGCTAAACCACATTACCCTCCTGTAGACAAGAACACCTACTTAGCTGCTATGAATCTTCTATCGACCCACAGCTTTCTTAATCCGCAAGAGTGCGCAAACAACATGTACACAGGAACGAGGCATCAACAAAATCAAAGAGCTGATAAATGATAAAGTAAAAGCCATTCATGTGACTAACACCCTCGCACATGGCACAGCAAGAATGAGAACACAGCAGAGGCCGCCCTCGCTTCAATCAACTAGCTCAAACTGCAGGGGAGAGGTACTTGTGGGCAGGTTGCTGCCCGTGCATCTCGCCGATGCGACACTGTATGGAATGCAACGACAGTGACAGCATCGACATATCCAGAATCTGCGATTCGGTGCTAAGTTGGTCACCCGTCCCTCCTTCATTTTTCAAGCAAGTTGAATTAGCAGCTGTCACTCAGCTGGGAGCTTGCCAGCTTGTCCTGCGACACGAGGCAAAACACACGCAGAGAAGCAGTTTCCGGCCATTTCTAAAAGCGCACATATTATATATATATATATGCTAGCCAGGACTGTCTGACAATTACGGCAAAATCAAGTGTCCTCGTCAGAGCTCATCTCGACAAAATCGAAATCCCAAACATCTGGCAAACCCAAGTGTGGCCAGCCCTGGTCATTGCGTCGCGCTGCAGGCACAGTGCCATCGAACATGGCAGTAGATACTTGCCTGCCTGGAACAATTCTGCTGCAGGAGCTCTGTCTGTCGCCTGTCGAATTGGAGGCTTCTCATAGGTAGCTGCTTCAGGATGCACGGTTCGGCGTGTGAACCCGGCATCAACGACAGACCGATCTCCTGCAGAAATCTCAGACCACAGGAGCCTGGCTCGTCCATCGGAATGCAGGATAACTTCCGTGCGATGGTCCACTCACGGCCTGACCGGCTGCCCAGAGATCCATCAGGTCAACCTTTAGTTTCTTGCGCCTGCAACCTGAAAAATAAAAGCGCCTGACAAGCCATCCGCTTGAACAAGCAAGCACTTGTGACCTGAACACGGGCAGTGGTGAGAGACAGCGCGAAATCAATGCCTTTGAAGAATGCCTTTGCATCAATTCCTCCATTCGGGATATTGTTCACCATCCTTGGCTTGGACTAGCCTATTCGACCACATCAACGAAGTCATTGGCTTGCAAAACCGCCTGTCGCAGCTGGGCTTCGCATCCAAATCCAGCCGAGCCATGATGGCATGCCCTGGCCCGGCAGGGAATCCTGGAACTGCATCCTGCACACGGGACCAAGACCCTCATAGGACGTAGCCTAACATAGCAGAGAAGCAGTACTGCCATGTCATCTCGTCTAGAGGCTTGTTGCCACAGCTCCTTCGGATCGTTGCGCGTCATGGTTGAGCGCATGTCGCCCAGTTGACCTCTGCTGTTCAGAGCTTGAGCAAACCCCACCCCACCGCAACAGCATCAACGCTAAAGCACCGACATCCTGAACAAGACTCTTGACAGAGTATCTTGTGCAAGATAACCCAACAACGCCAATTACGTAGAGTTAAATCACCCGAAAAGCAAGATTGAATAAGATTGCACAAGGCCCTGCTTCAAAGACCTGCTACCGAAGCACAAACTTCGAAGGGAGATCGGGCAAGTACACGATAGCAAAACACCAACAAAAGCAAGTTACAAGCCAAGGAGAAGAAAAAGCGGCATCAGTACCAGTGAGCGGCGTCGTCAGAATTATCAACAGGCGTCAGCTGAATGCTGCTTACATACTCACCGGTTTATGCAATTCTCGTCTCGCCCGCAGCAGCCCAAGCAACGAAAATAGACTGTAGCACGACGGAGCGTTGGACGCAGAAAACACATGCGGCGGCGTGTGTTCAGCCTTTCTGGTCCATCTCAGGGTCTTAGTGGGCAGTCCCATACGGATGTAGAAGAGCTAGCCAGCCGATGCAAGGAGGTGCGTTGTGGTGGCTAGTTGCGCAAACACAGCAGATTGGACACTGCCGACATTCTCAAGGCTTTGGCTTCTTCTTTAGACAATGTGTATTGCTCACCAAGCGCAGGGCGAAGGCTTTGCTATGCTTTGCTTCTGAGTGTGCTAAACACTTCCTTCAACTTAAACTGTTCCAAGCAACGGCAACTGTTTAGGTGTCACATGTTTTCCCAAGGCAGAAAAAGCTGAGAAAAAGGCAAACCCTGCCATCCCCTGACTCCATGCCTTCAGGCTGCTCACTCCGGACCCAAATCGGCGGAGCAAGGATGCTCGCGGTGAGTCTTCGAAGGAGAAGAGCTTGCCGTAAGACTCCTCGAGGCTCATGAAACGGGTAGCCATGGCAACAGCGAGGATGGTATCCAAGACTCCTCAGCGGTCTTGTGCCCAGACATCCGTCTGATGTCCTCGGACAGCCGAGCGAACAGCGTGAGGCAATCTAATACCCATGACGAGCATGGTGAGCTCGTGCCTCAAAGAATGGACGATTAAAGGACCCCCAATAGCCACGCGAAGTGAGCTCTGTAGTAATGTCCGCCTGCATGGTAGCAGAGTTCCGGCTTCTCGGGAACAACCGGCGCTGCCTGATGAGTCATGCCAGGAACTTGCTCCACAATCCGGAGCGTATTTCGCTGCAAAGGTTGTCCAGGACTAAACCTGGGCGGCTGCACAGCTCGCAGATGTAAGCGAGATCTGCCGCTGCTTTCTGGGTCTCTGCATAAACATCCCGCCTGTTGTAGTCCACCACAATCCATTGCGAATTTCCAGTGCCTGTGTTCTGCTCCGCCATCATCGACGTCCACTGCGTGCCTGCAGACGCAGCGCAGCGTTTTCCCCGTCACGGCCTGTGGGTGAAGAATACTCTCAGGCCTGTCTTAGCCACGCGATTCACAGCCATGACATGTAGAAACTTGGGTAGCCTGGCAACGGGCGTCTTCAGTGCCTCACCGTGCGTCTATGTCCACCCTCAGGCGCCTGGGCCTGTCAGGGTCATCCATGACCCGGCTGTACAACTTCGGGTTAAGGACCTGCCACGGTCTTCCCATGTCGTGAGCCAAATGCTTGCGAAGACGGCCTCCAACGTGGTGTCCATCACTGCCAGGCCATTGTCCTGGCTTTGCGACTGTGCTCTCATTCCTGACAACGGCCTCGCACGCCTTTTAACATCATGCACGCTCCGGTGCACTGCCACAAAGCGGGTCCATCATATAAAAGTCGTCGGTGCTGCTGACGCATCCAGGATATGAACCTGACTAAAGTCTCTAGTTATCTGGCCCTCTGCCCCTGTGCGTAGATGCGTGACGGTGTAAGCCGCGAACTGAACCCCATCAGCTCGTGCGACTGAAATGACAAAGGCAAGTCAAATCGGTAGTACCTCGGATGCCGCCAGCTGCTTGACAAAAAGCATCGCCGAGAGCTGACAAAGAGCTTTCTGCTGCCACGTTTCTTGTACACTCTACTCATTTTACTGTAGTCCCCCCTGGGCGCCAAGTGTCGCAACACTACTGGCCGTGTCATGCCGTGTCAAGCTACTGGTTTGGGAGCCACGCCAGGTGGTGTGCCCAATGAAAAGATCCGAATTTGCAGGCGCCAGGCGCACCTGCTTTTCGCAGCGTCCGTCTGTCCACCGAAGGTGTCCATGTATGTCCCTGAGCTAAGTTGTCGTCTAGGGCCGTGCAGTGGCCATGCTTCGCCAATCGGAGCTTCCAGTCCTCACCAGGATGAGCACTGGATCTACCATGCCTGACTTCACCAAGCAGCTTTTGCCAGGCTGAGAACCGGACGGAATCGATCGCTAGAGCATCAGCCTTCCAAACCAAGTGGGCTTCCCATCAATGTGCCACAGTTGCCAAGCCAATGGTTGGTCAAATGCTTGCCTGTGACACATGGGCTTCCAGTAGCGATCCTGAACAGCCACTGCTGCCTAGCTCGCCGTCCATGTCAAGACATTGCGTTCAGCCTGGCCTGAAGTAGAATTCTGTGAGTCGGGAGCCTGGAAAGGCGTCACAAAAATAGTCGGTTGCAAGGATTGCCAAATCTGGAGCAGTGGCATCATCGGAGCTTGCAGCACCACTTCCTGAGCTCCAGGTGCTCCGCGCATGTTGTCATACCACTCTGGGCAATGGGCAACAGGCTGGCCGCAACCGCTTGCGGGCGGAAAGCCTCCCATGAATACTTCGCAGTCCTACAGTGGTCCTACAGCTAGCACAGCTAGCATCTAGCAGCGCAGGCGTATCCTGCACATCACTGGCCTCAATGAGCTCAGGGAGCTCGGCATGGGAATTCATGAAAAGCAGATCGACCATGTCTATTGTCCGCACGCCCTTGCGATTGCAGGCGCAATGAGAGTCGGGATACCCAGCGAAGCCAAACTGTTCTACGCACAAGCTGTTAACCTTCTCTGCCGCAACGAGGTTGTAGGCATCCTAACAAAGATCTGTGCCAAGCGACAACTCTAACATGCAACCAAAGGATCTTGCTCTGCTAGCTGCAACACAAACCCCTGCTGCACGTTCATGGCTCACTGCAGCAGCAGCAGCAGCAGCAGTTCTGCGAGCATGCTCGAACAATTATTACAATTGCGCCACCACAGCAGCTTCTGGCACGGCGTCCTTCAAACCCCACATCTGCAGAAAAAGATACCGCACGTGCTTCCAGTATGGATCGGCCGGCTCTCCCTGAAAGGCGCAGGTCTCAAAAGAAAACTCTCTCGATTTCTAGCTGCAGACCAGCCTCGGCCGTGCCGGCGGCCAGCTTGCACATGCGCATGATGTGCTGAATCTGCTGATTGAAAGAGTTCCTGAAAAAACAACGGCGCTGTCCCGCAAGCCGAAACGCGGGGTTCATAACATGGTACTGTTACTGGCAGCTACTAGCTCCTATGGAAGCAAGAAAAACGATCGTCAGAGTCAGCCTGATGTTCATCATGGCAAGCGTGGAATCCTGAGGCGGCCCAAAATGTGCGACATGCTGATTGCACTGCCCTATTTTGGGAGACACTCTCTGCCACTGCACCTCATTCGGCTGCAACAAAGGATAGAAGTTGCTGTAGAACTGGGACATGCGTTCTGCCGTGAGGTAGCCCTCCACAATCCTGCCATGCCGATTTTAGAGGGGACTTTCTGCTCCGTCGCTACAACATGCATTCCCGACTGACACGAACAAAGACCAGACGACTGTGCATCAGGGGCAACTAGCCGGCTGGACCCTGCGCTGTACATCTTCAAATCGTTGGAGAAGAAAGCACTTTTCGGTGTGCTGACCTCGTACAGACTACATTGAAATTCCTTGAGGGTGCACCAGAGCCCACGGACTGTTCCAATTGCTGTGGGCAACCGTTGGCCGCCACCTGTCACCCGTGCACTGACGGTTGTGCGAGGGCCCGGACATGCAGCTCCATCCAGCCGGTTTCCTTCAGATTCGCTGAAGCACGGTCAAGTGGAGAATTCCGTATCGCTATGTTGTACGATGTAATGAACTTTTCTGCAGCCCGACTGCACTCAGTCGATCGGCGAGTCGGGCCCAAGACACTGCATGATCCTTCAGGGACGGGGATGCTGGCGTGCACCCGGTCGGGTTCACCTCGCTCAATCCTGCACGGCATTCACCAAAACGATCTGGTTGGTTTCGTTGTCCAGGGTGGCCGAAAGCCCCTGCATGTCAACTTGTGAGGACATCACAGCATGCTCCGCAGCTTGCGTAGAAATTTATAGAAACATGTAGCAATGTAGCAACATGTAGCAACACGATCGAGACAGGGAGGCTACGGTGCTGTAAATCTCCATCGGCCAAGATCACAAGGCGACTTCAAGCACGAACAACTAGAATGCTTTTCCTGGATGAATTTCATCCTCCCAGCTGCCAAGTGCATCACCGGTGGGTCTGAACAAAATGTGTCTGCTTCTTTGCGCCGTTGAAGCCCGTCGCTTCTCCCTTGCTGTGAATTCAATGAGACAGGTTGGTCACATGAGACAACGAATGGGGTGATGATGATGATGATGATGGATGTCATTCATGGGTAGTAGCGGGCAGCGTCACTGATATACCAACTGCCTCAGACCGCGCCCATAGATGCACGAAGCTACTCCGACTTGGCTGACCAAGAGAGGACCAGCGACTGCAACCGATGCATCAACATTTTTGACAACAGGGCCATGACATATCAACGTTGTTGCGACAACTATCACCAAAAGACACTAGTCTTGGCGGATACCGATGGCATGCTGCTTGTCTCTCCTTGAGCTTGTCGATATTCTTGCGATCGAAACTCGCCTGGGTCACATGCTTTCAATTTCAACCAACCAAAGTCTGTGTTCTGATAGCTCTGGCGGTTCATGCTCACGCTGGGCCTTCACGTTAAACAGCGGCGTCAAGTTCGGGTGGACGCCGCGAGCCTCACGACATCAACAACAGGACCTGTCCAAATAAACTCGCAATGGACACTCAACTTATCTTACACGTTCTGTGACAAAGCTGCAAGCAGCCTTGATGGCAAGTCCATAGCACACTATGCTACTCAGCACCAAACAGCGTGCCAAGCACTTCCTTAGGGCTCGTGCTGTGGAGCCAAGCATGCACGCAAAGCAAAGGAATAAGACCTGGCTGTAACCTCTATGCTGGCCAAGATTCATTGCTACATGGGGGCAACTGGTGGGGGCAATCGGAGTCGCCCGTCTGAGCCAAATCCAACCGACCACCAACTTCCAGGGTACAGCTCCAGGAATCTTCCATCGCAGAACTCATGCACTCATGCACAACACGAGCCTATCTACCCAAATGCAACAACACTGAAAGCCCTGAGAAGTCAAATCTTCTACAATCTGCAACATGAGGGAAAAACATGGAAGAACTGCTCCCATCGAGCATAGTACTTTCATGACAGATGAAGACAAAGTCGGAACACCCCTCTACCTGTGAGGCCACAGCTCGGACTAGCAAAGAGGCGGGTCGGCCTGGGCTCAATCCTCAGTACCGGTGTGCCAGACGGTGCTTTATAAAACAATGCTCGGATCGTAAACTAATGCAAAATCCGAGAACTTAAGATTTAAGGCAACAGCATACGCAAGATTAACGCTGAGAGCTAATGCCGTCCCCTGCAGCTCCTTCTATAAATTGCCGGACAGGGAAAAAGTTAGATTAGCGTGTCACTCTTGATTTCTTGCGTCAAGCAGTTCCCAAGGAAGTTCTACGGCAGGCCGGGTCGTTGCTTTGGAAACAAAAAACTCAAAGTGAGCCTCAAAGCCAACTAAACGCAGGCAGGCAGCTTCCGGGCCATGACTGTGGCGCTGCGCTCACAGCTCACCTTGAAAACCGACGGCATGACACAATGCACGGGCATGCACGGGCCTTCAGTCAGCTTTAGGATGGGAGCCAGCACTTGCTTGAACACGGCTCCCATAGGCTTTGAAAAAAGGCCAGGCGGCCATCTCCTCCTCGGAAGTCGAGCGCTTGGGCGGTTCCATGACGGTGCTGTTCAGCATGACCTGGCCCGCAGAGTTTGCAGGGAGCCTGGGGAATCAGCACGAATATGTGGCCTGTCACTGTGCGCACCTTCTCGTAAGCGTCACTGATCTCTAGCTTTGCAATGTCAATGTCTTCCGTCCTTTGCAAGCTACCAGCAGAAGATGCGTAAAACAGCAAATACGGTGCCACCTGCAGAAAGCGGAATTGTCTTACCAGCATGCAGCAACACCCAACTTGCCCCCGGGAGTCGACGGCGGCTTGTCGCGGACACTGTCCTCAAGTTCGTTTTCCGACCTGCCGAAGAGGCGAAGCGGTGCTCAGGGACTATGTCGGGTGCAGCATCACCCTCTTGGCTTGGGCCGCACCTGCTATTTGCGGCCGACATGATGAGCGAGAATGTCTTGCCACCCCGGAAGGCACGTTGCAAGGCCTCGCAGGGAACAAGAACGCACATCACTGCTGATTCCAAGCCATGGCACAGCTTCGGCCTGCGTGTCCGCGTAGCCTGGTGCAAGGACGAAACTCAAACTGGCATGCCGAATTTGCGGACTTGAAGGGCATTCGGGGGTTACGGTTCAAGACAAAATGTCTCCACCTTGCTTGGGTCAGGCTGCTGCAACATCTCGAGATGCATGAGACAGCACAGCAAGCGAAGCAATCACTGAGGTCATGCAGCCTAGGCACGTTTCATTTCCTGCAATTCTGTACTCTGCTGGTTGGAGAAAATGGCAGCAATGGCTGCCACACCAGTCTCGTCTTCGGCAGGGTACCAGCGAAGACTTAGTGAACCATCACTCAGTTTAGGAGATGTTGTCAACCTTTGCACTTGTCTTGGCCGAGAAACTGGTGTCCGGTGCGAGGATCCACGGTGTATGGTGACCAACGAACACCAGAGCCTCAAGGAGTTCCGAGCACTACTCCCGCCAATATTGCCCACAGGCCGAGGGCCTTCGGTCTGAACAAATCTCTAAGATGCTCTAGCTATTTCTGGCTAGAATTGATGCTTCAATTCTTTGTCTAGGGTCACCTTCCCAGGTCAACCTTTCGCAGCATCCTGTCTCTGTATTGCAACCTCGTCGCCGAGCTCTGAGGTGATCTGCAGGGAATGCAGTGGGGGGGGCGGCTTGGTGCTCCGCTTCTGGATCGCGTCGGCCTGAGCAACGAGATCGCAAAAATGGTGGCCCTGCCTCCAGTCGCTACGAGAAGTTTGGAGAAGCCAAGCTGCTGAAAGGTTACCAAAGTCCTTGCGCTTGACAAAGGCAGCCCCCCAGCCGCAATATTTCACCCACTCCTAAGGTGAGATCAACAGAGAGAGACGAGCTGACAGGTCGAACACCGTCACAGCTTGACCAGCGACCAAGTCACAATGCAAACCTCCGGCTTGATCATCGAGCAGAATGTGTGCACCAAATCCTGCCGCCAGTATTGCAGGCGCAAGTGTTCGGACGTGGCTCTTCAGGCTCCAGGCTACAGTGTCCATCGAACTCACAACATGACTCGAAAAGCATTTTGGACACCAGGCCTGGTGGGTGACTATAAGGAAATTGAGCCGGGCATATCTACCCCTTTCCAGCCATTCCTTGGCATGTGGCGAAGCGGAATCAGAGCTGACGAGGTGCTACCCTAGTGCTAGACTCTATTCGCTAACAAGACCCAAGCGACAACATCGTGCATGCCCACATTCACAACACTGCAATTGTGCCTGGGTGTTTTAAGTTATGACACCATGCTGCTGCATCCGATGTTCCAACAAGCATGCATGTGCTATATATATATATATGTGTGTGTGTGCGTGTGTATGTATGTCTATGTCTGTCACAGTCTGTACATGTATGAGGTCTGTACGTAAGAACATAAATACATGTATGTGTACCATATGCAAAACCTATGTGTATATATGTATACATACAT